TCTGGTTAAATAACGGAAGGGAGAGGGGGGGGGGGTAAGGGGAAGAAGATATTTTATATAAAGGGGTGATTGCTTGAAATACCAGTGAAATATTATTTTTGAGTTTGACCCAGAATGGACAGCAGATTTTTTCGGTCGGTTTCAGAACTGTATTTATGGACATCTTGGTAGAGGAACTGATTTTTTGTTGCAAACTCTAATTTTCTAATCTTTCTGGAAAACAGGTGTAGCTGACCTTTCAAACTATAAATCTTCCAACATATATTAACAAGTTAAATATGAAAGTTACACCATAAGGCTGCAAAGTTATACCTATATGGGATCAGAAAATTTTAATTTTGGGTGAGTCTGTTCATTTGAAAAAAAGTTATTGCTAAAATAAGTATCTTTATTTCTAGAAGAAGCTGCCCGTTCTTTGAGATGAGATGATCTGCTTGTTAAGATTCAGGGATGCAAGGGATTGTTTATGCAATACTCCTTCTTGTCCAGATGAGCGCTCTATCCAAGGCTAGGATTCAGTGGTCTGGGGACAGAGTAATCCCAATGCTTGCAGAGTCCGATCTGCCAGGTATGCCAGTTACAGGATGGATCTTGATCAGATTGGAGATCAGTGCGGGTTGGATCCGGTACCTGGAGCTAGAGGAATGAATAGACCTCATGGGATAAAGGTTGGAATGCTGGAGTTTGATCCTAGTATGCCCAGGAGCTTTGATGTTGGTAAGAGATGCAAGGAACTCGGGAGGTCTCAGAGGTGGTGTATCCTGGAGTGGGCTCGTCTTACCTGGAGAAGTTGCTAGGGTGGAGATGAAGCTCAATGACGCAGTGAGAAGTATTCTGGTTGAAGAGAAATCCAGGCTGGAGAAGTCTGTATGATCCAGAGGAGACAGGTTGTTTGGTTGGAAGATTTATCCTTGGATTGGTCCATGGAAGAGAGAACTAGATGGAGAGAGAGTGTACATAATCTCCCTGGTTGGAAGAAACGGACAGGACGTAAAGGTATCAGATCCAAATCCAGAGCAAACAGTTAAAGGAGAAGGTTGAGATTGGAACGAGAAAAGGGGATGGTTGAGGGAGATGTACAGGATTCTGCTGATCCTGGAGAACTGAATGGTTGGTGGTCTGTCTATCCGGAGTCCGTCCCAGTCTACTCCAGGTCCCTCTGGATTGGTGAGTGGGTTCAGAATCCAGGATGGTGGGGAACTCAGTGATGAGGGTTCGGATGATGTGTATCCTTAAGGTCTCAGATGATGATGGCGTGGAGGAGGTTCCTGCTCTAGTAGCGGTTGGATCTGCTCCGAGATGTGCAGGGTTGGCTTCGTATAGCAGAACTGTGTTGAAGAAAGGTTGGCTTGATCTGACGATGTGAGATTTAGAACCTATGATGAGCAGATAAAAAGATTCCACATTTGTTTTTCTTGCTAAGTCATACTGAAGTATTTTTTGTACCCAGGTTCGCCATATATTTTATATTGTACAGGGTAGACGGTTAGACCAAATCAAGTGTGATTATTTCTTTCAGTCTGATTATACTATAAAGAACTGGACTTACCTTGGAAGTTGTCATAAATCATTTTAAGCATATACTTATTATATTTTACAAAATATTAGTCAAGGATTGTGAATAGTTCATTTTTAAACGTGTTCTTATTATTTTATGAAATAAATACGGTCTTTCTTTTATAGATTGAACCTTGCAAACTGATTACTTGTGTTTACTCTGAGAGATTGGATAGAGTGAAGAGTAGTCTGCAGGGTAACAGTCTGCTGCACAAGAACCAGACTAGGTAGAGATTATAGATAGATCATTGAATAGTAGGGCAGTTGGGATGATCACTTTATAAAAGAATATAAAAGAAAATAAAGTGAAATAAAATAAAATAATAGAAAAGAAAAGAATTTAAAAGAAAAGAAAAAAGTTGAAAAGAAAAGATAAAAATTGAAAACAAAACAAAATACAAGAAAAGGAAAAAGTAAAATAAAATAAAATAAAATAAAATAAAATAAAATAAAATAAAATAAAATAAAATAAAATAAAATAAAATAAAATAAAATAAAATAATAGAAAATAAAATAAAACAATACAAAAGAATAGAAAAGACCATAAAAGAAATAAGAAGAAAAGAAAATGAAAAATGGAAATAGAAGAAAAGAAAAAAAAGTTTATTAAAGAGAAAAAGAAAAAAATGAATAAAAGAGAAGAAAAGAAAAAAATTAGAGAAAGAAAGAAAAAAGAATAAAAAAGAGAAAAAGAAAAGAAAATGAAAAGAAAAGAAAGAAAAAGTTTGTTTATCTAATGGTAAAGATGTAATCCCCCAAATAGTTTCTAATAATGGTTTAGAATATAAATAAGAATATAGAAAGAAACCCACTGCAATGTAAAATAAACATTAAGACAAGCAAAAGAAAAGAAAAAATAGAGGATTTTATTGTCAGTTTAAAAATGTTTTTATAATTTTTAAACTTTAAAGAACCCTAAACAAGCTTAAATATTCTAATTTCTAATATGTGTAAATATCTTATTATAAAACTTACTTTAAATATTTAAATATTTTGTCCTTATTATTTGTTAAAAAATGGAATTGGACAATTTGCAGAAAAGGCGTATCGGAAAAGGCGTATCGGAAAAGAATGATCACTTTTTAAGGTTAAGACTTTGTAAACCATTTAACACTAAATTGAAAGAAGACAACCAATATTAAGGTTCATGTTCGAAGAGTTTTGGGTTGCCATTACAGTCTTGTCCTTTGTAACCCTGTAAAGGCTGCAAAAAATGTCTATTAGGAAATTAGAGTCTGAGACTAGTAATCAAATTTAAAAACGAGAAATGGATTTCTGGGAAATTAATTCGCGGATATTAAACGGAACATTAACTACAGCCATGTTTTAGAAGATGGTGAAAAAAAACAGTGAAAAAAGAGAAAAACAGACGCAAAAGAAGTTGTTGTAAGTTTATATAATACTGCTGAAGGGCCTGGCGTTGCCCGTGGAAAAAAAATAATATTTTGAAAGAAAAAGAGAAAAAAATATAGCCCTTAACACCCCCAGGCCACCATGAGGGAACATATATATAAATGTCTTGTTTTATTATATACATTATATTGGAAACCCATCTTTGTCTTAAATTTTTCTTTAACAAGTTAACCCACTCGAAACTTAAAAACTTAAAAGAAGGCTAAGAACATTCCCGTGGTTCTACCGAATTACCCAATCAAAATTTTTGGGTCAAGTAGAAATATTTGTAAGAAGTAAATGCTAAATTTTTCTTAATCTAGTTTTGCATTATATTGTATTGTATTACATTGTGTTCAACTAAGCTTTAAGGCTGCTCCGCGCCCCTCTTTACATTAATTTTTGAAGCTGATATTTCTGCTACTTACCTTTTAAAGTAGCAACAACTATAAAAAGTTTCCAACATTTTTTAATCAAAATTAGTTAAAGGCAAATTTTCAATGTAATATGTAATGTATTTTGTTGTATTGTATTGTATTGTATTGTATTGTATTGTATTGTATTGTATTGTATTGTATTGTATTGTATTGTATTGTATTGTATTGTATTGTATTGAATTTCAACTTTTTCCGACAAAATTTCCAGAAAAATAAATTAAGATTTTAACCTTTTCTTGTGAAAAACTGGGACTTGGATTCATAGATAAAATAAAATAAAATCAGTCATTTTTAGTTTGTCTGTCTAATGTATACTTGATCAATCAATCAATTGAAATTATGCGTATAGTCCTATTGACCCAAGCTTTGACCTGCTTTGACCTTGGTCTCTCCAAACCAAATTCTTATAAATATTTGTAACGAAACTTTTTATTAGCTAGTAAAGCTATTTATACTTAGAATATAGTATATCTCAATCTTTTAAAAGCTTGGCAGTTTATATTGTTCATCCGGAAGCGTTCTATATCAAATGGTTTAAAGGGTTACCCTCAAAGAATGAACTTTTAGGACGACATGAGACAATTTGTTAAAGGGACTGTAAGCGTGATTTTTAAGTGACCCTCCATTCAAAGATGACAATGCCTGATTTATATAACGGTATCCTTGAAACCTTTATCTGATCAAAATGTTTTCCTGACTTTGTTTACTTCTGTGATTTCTACAATGCTTTTATAAGCGCAACTCACTTTCGCCGAGAAACCAGAAATGAAAATAAACAGTTTTAACAAACAAAAATATTGATATCTAATTCGCACTATCTTGATCAGTCGATCTCAAAGCGTGCAAGGAAGCCTCTGTACAATCGGACATTTCCATTTTTTTCTGGAGATTTACTTGATACTACTCTTAGTCTTACACTCCCTTTACTTTCATTATCTGAATGCTGAATTTTGTTTAGAATGTAAAAGTCTTGTAACTTAATGATTTAAAAAATGGAGAACAGTTTTTGATTAAAGGAAACAACGAGTTTGTAATATTACGTACAGTCCTCTCTAAAGTCCGAAAAAAAATTACGAAATAAACGAAACGGAAACAATTGAAATTGTTTTGTTTCGTTTTTGCACCGTTTTTGTTCGTTTTAAGGGAACTGAAGATTGATAGATAAATAAATTAATGTTTAAGTTTTTTCCATTTCTAGATTTGGAAGTTTAGCCTCAAGTTCCAGTTGAAATAAATAATTCTGCATGTTTAAAGATGCGACTAGTTTTATTATAAATATTATTAATTTAATACCATGTTATCATATATCACAATGCTTATATTTTACATTTTACGTAACCCTATTCCTGTCTGGGGGGTATTTTTTTTACATAACTCAAAAAGTATTGGTCTAAGGCTGTTTAAATTTTCTGACTTTTCCTAAATTCTCAAAGCCATCCCTTTAGGTCTAAAACCGGGCTTTTATACTAACTGCCGGAGTCCTCTGGCTCACTGCCTGAATGACTACTTTTTCCTATAACAAACTAAATCTTTGTTTTGACCCACTTTCAGTTGTCAGATTGGAAATTTTTTAGCTTTTTGGAAAGCCTATGACAAAAGGAAACAGATTGCATAAGTGTTGCAAAGAAATTTTTGCTAATTATTCGCATACAACCCGTCGAAAGAAATTTGCACATTTCTAGTTTTTCTTGATTACAGGTTATTTAATATTTTTTTTTGAATATTCTGAAAGTAGAGCTAAAGAGAATTCCAATTTGATGTATCATCTCTCATATTTGGACATCGAACATGGGAATAAGGTTAAATTGACCCCTTCCCCCCCCCCCAGCGTATCCTGGTTTTCAAGTACCCGGCAAGGATAGGGTTAAGTCCTGTCAACAACCTTTCTAAGAATGAAAGATATCTTATTAAAATTTTTTTTAATCTTTCAATTTTGCAACTTGAAATGAAAATTCTTTGGTTAAAAGTTTACGGAGAATCATGAATCATTTCTCTAATATTCTTCAATCCAATATGTGCTTTTAAGAAAACCAATAAAAAAGATTTTAAAATTCGTCATGTATATATATAAAACTTTTTTAAATCTTATAAATTTTAAACAGTCATCACTGAGACTAAAATTTCATTTTGAGCAGCTCTCATATTCTCCTCTTGCAAACTAAATCTTTTTCTGTCCATTGACTCCCCTGTTTTAGTTAATTCACGTCGTGCCACCGTCTCAGCAGACCCAGTTTCCCGCTTTTTCTCTCCAGAACCGGTTTCACGCAATTTCACCCCTGAACAGGTTTCCCGCCATTTCTCGGCAGAACCGGTTTCTTCGTCTTGGCGCATTTTTAACTTTTCTTCCCGCTTTAGTCTACGTTCCTTGGCTACCTCAAGATGATGCTTTCGTTCCTGTTTTGTCCAAAATTTTCCAAATTTAAGTTCTGACGTTGTATCGTCGTCGGTGGTATTTGCTGCGCGCTCGGCGGCCACCTGACGCGCACGTTCTTGTAACATTCGATGTTTCCGTAGCGGCCTGCGGGTGACATATCTAAAAATGATATTATTATTTTACATGTTGGCCATGTTTTCTTGCTAAGTCCTTCCTGTTTACATGTTTAATGTTTATTCCTGCTCCTTATAATGTAAACTTCCCTTCAGTCTGTACATTTTGTTAATGCTATGCTTGTCAGAACTTACGTTTAACTTAAAAAGACGAATTTTTAAACATTTAAAAGTTTCTCTCCAAAACTGTTTTTGAATATCTTAAACATTTAACCAAATGATTGGTTTAAAACCTACAATCACATTTTGATAAAAATAAAGGAAAGTTTAAATCTATATCCAATTTAAAAAATGTTCTCTGGAATTGAAATAATTGCCAAATTTACTCAAATCTAAATGCATCTATGAAGGACTTAAAGGAAGTGACCGGCAATGCATTGGTATGTTTAAAAACGTATTTCTCAAGAAAGTCAATAAATCAATGATAGAATAAATTATTTCTTTTTCATCATTATAATGAATTTCTTATTATTTACGAATTAGTTTGAAGATTTTTTCAAATTCTTCAAATGTTAACTTTTCAATAAAAATTCCGGGAAATACACAGAAAAAATGCCCCCCTCCCCCCCTCTGAATAAGATTACTTATTTTCGATAATAAGAGACAATTTTTATTTTTTCAGACTGTTTCTTAACATCTAATTAGTTTACTTCAGAATTTTTGTTACGTTTTTGTTGTCGTTATTTAATAATTTCAGAAATTCCACTCTTATAAATGGATGATTTTAAACGTCGACTTTGCGCTCAAACTCAGTGATTAGACATCATTAAAACGTTTATATGTCTCAAATGAATCCTAAAAAATTCAATTTAACTACTGCATTCATTGCCGTTCACTCCCTTTAATAGCATGACTTTGCAACTGTCTAACCGGCAAACCCTCCAGTTTTAATTTTTATCAAAAAAAAAAAAATAAGGATCTGCAATCAATATAGGGGTTAGCAAATTAGAGTTTGTTGTTCCGTTAAGTCCAATTAAGTTGCATATTTAAGGATTTAAAAACATTTTCTCTTGTGCGTCTACAGCTTTAGTGAAAAAGGAGTTTTGTAAAATTCCATACCTTGTCCCGTCTGGACGAATTTTAACTTTCCACTCCCAGTTCTCGTCCTCTCGTCCACTTCCCATAAACGAAGTAGACTGTTCATGATGCTCTCCTGAGTTAGTCCGGGGATCCAAAATAGGCGGGACGCGATCACAGGCGGGTGGGAATCGTCCAGGCGGAGGCGGCGGAGCGTTAAAAACCGGTTTGTTGAGTTTGTTTAGAAGTTGTTGCTGCTGCTGCTGGATAATGTACTGCACATTGTTTAAGTCTGTGTACACAATATCGGAGCATTGATCAGGAGAAATGTACTGCTCGCTTGTTGGGTTTATGTACAGGTTACCGTACGCCGAATCTACAGTTCGCAGGGGATCGGAGGTGAAGTACGAAGCGGAAGGATCGGCGGTAGACATTACAAGGGAAAGAGTTGATTCCGACATAGGTCGTCTTTGAGTAATAATTGGTGGAGTATTCATCGGGGAGTTACCAGCAAGTCTAAAATAGAAAAAAATATTAATAAAATAATTTTATTTATATATTCGTTGTTGTTGATAAAAGAGCATGGATGTACATTCTTCAACACTGTCTAGTGTCTAACCAACAAAACTTGCTGCCCAAGAAGAAAAAAACGGGACAAAAAAGTCCCCCCCCCCCCC